TATGTTGAAGAAACACACATGATGTTAGTAGCCTTTTTTGCGTTCGTGAAATTTGTTGCAGCATCTCAGCACAAAAGATAACGAAAGAAATCTTTGTCACGATTTGTTGACAATTGAAAACACCGAGTCGTACTTGAAAGTGCACGAGCTGCACTATGCAAATGAGCTGATTATACGCGTCAGACTCTCCTTTCAAAAACTTTTGTAAACTCACCAAACAAGCAGAAGCAATAAGAAACTATCAAAACAGATTTTGGTTATGATTAAACATTGTCTGAGAAACTCACAAATTTACTCGATACCAGAGTAGCGAGTTTTCTTGCTATATTCTTAAGTCAGAACAAACGCAAAAACATACGCTGCATACATCTAGCGCGAGCAGATCTTATTATTCATTCCCAGCGCGAGATTGAAGTCTTGTTTTCGACCCTGAAAAGCCCACCTTTTCCGTTAGCTCAGAGCATANTTGTTCTGAAAATAGAAAAATTGTCCCATATCATAGGTGCGCGCGGATTCCAAGACTTACGGTCTCCGTCCCCGATTATGGCTCCTGATAAAGCCTAAGCATAATAAGCATTTCTGCCAATCAGGTTTGCATGGAATATCTAACAAATTTACCAAATAAACAAAACGAGATAATACTTGACGACTGCTTGATGACTGGCTAGGCGAGTTCAAACGCCGCTCGAGCCTCCTGGAAAATAGTACTCTGCGTACAAAATAACTCGATTCCATTCTACCTCGTGCTTGTCACAGTAACATAGCAAAAAAATGTTTTTCAGTGTTGAATGCAACCACGCATACCTTGTTTCTCAGCAGCTACTCAACGAAGATAACTCAACATTGAAGGCACTGAAGTACCCTGGGCCCAGAGGTTTTTCTTGATTTTTCTTCTTTTCGCGGAGCGGCGAACACGAGTCTCTCATGCGGACCAGGGTAGGACTGAAGCGTATCCGAGAGTCATAGTAAAGATGAAGACATTGAAACATATACATGTACGAGCGTGATAATCAGCTTCTGTCGCGTGAAGTATTTTAGCCCTTACAATGAAATTATCCTGTCCTYCCTGTTACAGGGTTCGTACCCTTTTTCAGAAACAAATTTCCAGGACTTTTCCAGGACTTTTCCAGGACTTTTCCAGGACTCAGATTGATTTTTCCAGGGCTCTAAAATTCACATTAACCCTTTCACTCCCAAGATCTCAATGCTAATTCTCCTTACTGTCTGTCATACATTTCAAATTTCTTATTTGAGTTTAACAGATTTCCATAACTTTCCAGGACCAGTAGCCTTTTTCCAGGACTTTCGGCTCAGGCAAACGTTACTATGTACGTTTTTATGGATTTACCCGAAAGAATACTGGCAGATTCCTATTACAATTCGTTTTTTGAACAAAGCTGAATTAAATAAAGAAAAGATAAATCTCTCTATGTAACTGGGGACACTATAAAAATCGAGATATTTAAATAGGACTGAAAACTTCTCGTCGGAGGCTGCTCAGATGGCTTTGGAAAGTTTACAAAGCACTACTGGGCCCCACCCCTTATTTTTTCTTCCGGTAATCCAGATGGCATCTGTTTATGACTGTTTAGGTTGCTTCCCGCTTCGCACTGACATTTTCAATTACAAAAATGTTACAAAAACCTCAGAAATCCGCAATCATTTTACGCACGTGAAGTGCATGATATAAGCTGCTTTGACATCAGACTTACCCCTGCCACACAAACGGGATTCTCTTAATTTAATCAGGATGGTTGACTCAGTTTTGATCTCAAACGAAGATGAAGGGATGGGACACACTTCCTTCAGTACGATGGGCCGATCTCTAATGCTATTGGTAATGAGAAAGACCACACTGAGGCTTAAACACGTTCTGTTTAATATCGCCTTTACCTTCCACGTTCTCAAACGTTCCACTACATGTACTTCCCTGATGATAAAGAAAATTATTTTACAGATAATTGTTACTCAAATTATATAAAGATGTTCAAGAGCCGTATCTAATGATTTCATTCGAAACTTTGTACATTTTGAGCAATTTACTAGAAAAGAAAACATTATCTACATAAAAAGCCTACGATTATCTTAACTTTCCCACACTTATTTCAGTAACGATAGGTTCACTAATCTACGATCCTCGACACTGAACCCTTTCACGGTAAACGGTGCCGAAAAATGGTGTTCGTCCTACAACTTTCTTTGCGACTGATTATCTACTAAGCAGTGTAGCAAAACATCTAGATAAAATACTGTATACTTTAAAATTTACAAGATACTGTATACCTTTAACCTCTGTCATTACTAGGAAACTCCAACAACCAACTATCGTTAACAGAAAATAACGCATATGAGCTGTGTGAAACCTTTGCCTCGAAGTTAAATTAGCATGTAACTATTGCTCACTAATGCAGGAGATAATAAGAGGTAGTTTACGAACCTTGGAGAAAAACAAAGTATTTACCCTTTTATTAAGATGCAATTTACCTACATGTATTAAAACGTTTAAGAAATCTCAACCTTACGTAAAAACCGAACTGTAAAACGTTTTTAAACTGCCATTGACTTCAGTTTTGATTTAATATATATGATTATATTACTCTGGTGAATTATTTCACCTTAAGCTTGTTGTCGTGGTTAACTTAGTATCTCATCTATTACGTTTAACTGACAAAGCGAATGATTTTTAACCGTTTTGCATTCTCTATATCTCACTGGAAAATTATACAACAATTGCAACATAATCTTATACTTACACTGGACCTTCTTGTTTGATAATAAGACCCTTCTTGTTTGATAATTCACTGCATGGCAGCAAGAACCGTGAAGTCCACTAAAAAGTCAGCACTTGCTAACACGTTCAAGCTCCTCGACATTACGCTAAATAAATACCTACTAAACATGTGAGACATAATCTTGAAATTCTTCAGATTCTCCAGTGACTCATCATAATCCATCCCAAGCGAGAAAACGTAATACTTTATAAAGGACTCGTCGAGGAGTCCAAGGCAACAGAATGTCGAGGGAGAAACAAAATTAGTAACTGTGTCTTTCACATCTGCAACCCTCGTACTACGTAACCACACCCGCCACTTTAGCTCGACTCTTACAAAGATCGAACTCCAATTAAAAACCTCAGGAACGATACTTTGTGTTCAGCCAAATGGAGGCACAGTTCAGCTCCTTTAAACTCCCCTGATTCTGGTTCCCACCACATTTAGTGCCAGGTGATAACATAACATCTCTGTTTCCCTGGTAAGCGGACAAACTAAGCAAGACCAAATGAATCGGGGGAATAATTTGTAAAGCAACTGTTGTGCTTCAACACCTAGCTATATCATCGACAAAATGCGCTTTGCGCTTTGGCAAATAATCGCAAGAGAAAACATTAAAATGTTTGAAAACATTTGTTCTCTTAGTCGAGGAAACAAGCTCTGTTTGCAATGTGAACCAAGTCTATCACACTATGGAACTACTGTGAGAGTCGTCATGTAGATCAATAATTATTTTCCTACTGCATTACGAAAGCAAAGCAAGCCACGTTTACAGGTACTCATCAACAAACAGTAGTTCCTTTCCTCGACGGTCTCCAAGGTTCGTAACTAGCCTCTACTGCGGCTGCGCAGGATTAGTTTCATTAAGTAAGAGATCTGCAAAGTCATCACCCATGGCGGCTGCCATCGCAGCCATGTAGCTTGCAGGCCCACCGAGCTGGCCACCGAGCTGGCCACCGAGCTGGCCACCGACCGGTCCGCCTTGAAGGCCGCTAAGAAACACTTGACTCAAAGCCAGCTCAGACGCCATTTGTCCGTAGTCTCCCACAATTTCTTGGTTTGCCAAACCGAGTTCTGTACCATCTAGGAAGGTGGAGCTGGCAACCGACTGGGGTGATGCTGGTGAAGCAGGAGAGCCTCCAGGGTACAGGCCATATGGCATATCTGGAAAACCGCTAAGTGGAAACGAATTTGATGACAGAGTTTCCTAGGCAACCAAAAAAGAGATTACTACGACCATTAGACAAGGAAGACAATACTACTTAGATATGTTTGAAATATATGGTTTCCAAGAGGACACTAAGCCCTTAAGACATTGCTCGTGAGAACGCAAGTGAATACTCAGCTGACACACTTCGTTATAATCACACGACAAAATAAGAATAACTTCTGTCTGTACGTTTCCCTTAAATTCCATCACGATTCAGTCAGATAAATTGCTGTCCTGGATTTCTACTCAGGCCCGGCTTAGTGAGAAGCTTCAATGTAATCGGTTAACTGATACAAACAAGCGACTTCACTAACATCAAACTGAAACACATCAAAAGACACTTACCATGGACCCATCCTTTCCAGCCTGATACATCGGACTCTTGCCGCCTTGTTTACTAAGAATAAAATAAGTACAGGTTAGAAAAAATAATCACAAGAAAAGCCACCACTTCCTTTGCACAAACGGCTTTCACATTTTGTATCGATTTCAATTTTAAGCAAGTGGCACAACTAGTCTGATTGCAGATGGTATAGAGACAGCCCAGATACGTATGGTTGCCAGAAAGAACCGCGATGATCGTTAAATATCGATAAGGGTTTTTTTTTTTTTCAAAACCAGCAGACTAACCAAGAAAGATGACGTTTAAAATTAACAATTCGGTCCCAGTAAATGCTTACAGTTGATGGGAGATGCAAATAAATACAATGCATTTAACTCCTAGACACTGATGACCGTAAAGTGGATAAGTCAATATCTGTTCACTGTTAATTAATTCTCACCCCGCTAGCCTGACCGCCAGGAAAGCTTGTTGATATTCTGTATTTTCAGCAGCTGCGTTTTCTACAAAAAATAAGTTAATGAAGAGGATTCTACTTGCAAGGATTAATCACAACATGTTGACTAAATGCAAATAGTAATCAAGCAAGGGCTCACAAGAGTTTCCAGAGAAATAATTGTTTGTTTACTCCATAAAAATTACGAAAATAAAAATAAAATAAAACACGAAAATTTTAAGACGCCAGTAATGGTCCCCCCCTCCCCCATCCTCACCCGCTTGTAGCTTGTATCTTGTACCTTATTATATTATAGGATTATGAGCACTGTATACAGGGTCCTTACCATCATTCGTATAGTATTGGCCAAAGGCGTCGTTCTTGTCGATGTGTGGGTAGAGATAAACGAGTTCCTCTAAGTCTTTAAGGCGATCAGAAAACTTTCGCATTTGTAAGTGCGCGTTCGTCCATGGAGCTACATCATACACTTCACAGGGACCTGAAAAAAAACAAACAAACAAATAAACAAAAACAGCTGTTGGTTTGAAGCTCTGGTGTGCGTTCCTCTCTCTGGATAATTAGAGTCGTGACATCTCTTCAATACCCTCTACCGTCCTCCCATCAAAACCCTTTAAAAAGCACATTTTCTGCAATTTTTTAGAAATTCTAGTGATTATCCAACTAAATTTGGAGTGATACTGTATGACATAGCGGCAATAATTGCTATTTCACCATGTTGAATGACTAAGAGTAACATAGGCGAACATAAGGAAGGTAAAACATTCAAGAAAAATTGTGAATATTTTTACACGATAATTAAAAAGGGTTGCTGGCCGTTCTAGAACGTCTCCACTTAACATTTCATGAGTTCAACATTGAATTTTGATTATTATTTCCTTTTATGGCAGGAAGGTTGCTTGTTTTTACGAAAACAACTGTCACAGCAGTATCACTTAGTAACACTTAGTATCACTTACCACCATCAGTGAACGAAACATAGGCGACGCTGACACCACCCACTTCACCTTCACTGAACCTCAACAGGAATGTGCCAGGATTACACCCGCTTAGCATATCATGCGCGGCATTCTTGCTCAAAAAGCCAGCCACGCGTCTACAAATACAACCAATAGAGTGATTGACCTTCTGTCGTGCATTTATGATTAAATAAGTACTTCGCAGGTTTGCAATGTAGATTCAATGTGCCTGCGCTGTTCACACTCAAACGATACTCAGGGCTCCTTGTCTCCACTCTAGACTTCATACGTATGCGTTTTCGATCAAATTAGTGTGGAAGGTGTAAACGCCTTAGAGTAGAGAGGCTCTGAGTCTAGCTACAACACGGAGTGGCGGTAACTTCTAATTTCGCGTCGTATGTTGCCAAATACCTCAATATTTGAATGACAACTATATTGTTATTATTAACCTACCCGTCTTTCCACTCATCCAGTAACCGCCTTGAAACTACATCCAGCGCACCAAAAAACCATTTCCAAAAAGAAAATGACCGCTTATCCACATGATCCTAATGTGAGATGCAAATAATATTGAAGTCTATCCTTAACGTAGACAAAGCAAACCGTCTAGGGTTACATCATACATGGAGTTCAGAACAAATCCGTAAACCATAACAGAATGTGGAATTATTAACTGGACCCAAAACAAAACTACAAGTTACACGACTTATATGAAATGCATTACATGAGTGAAACACGAGGTTTATATAACGTACCTTATAAAACATTTGTCTCGTCACCATGGCGTTGTCCCTACCTCCCTCGAGTTTTCCTTGAAAAGAAGAAAACACGATAATTCGAATGGTTATCAAAACACAATCACTGAATATCTCGCTTCTGAAGCAGTGTTCTCGATAGTTTCAAGGAAACTAATATATAGATTTAGCCAAGCCTAAAAGCGGAGCTCCTGATTGCAATAACTCACCTTATTATCCAACTGCAGCGAATACCGTCCAAATAACAGTACAAATATACAGCGATATTGTAGTTATTTGTACAGTAGAAAACCTGTTTGTCGTACAGGTTGGCGCGCGTACGGAAAACTGTCACACTCTCCCTCTTTTCATTGATACATTTATTGACTACAGCAGTTGAATAATAAATCTCTTATTAGATGTTCTGGTGTGTAGTATCGCTTTATATTTTTACTCGTTGTTTGTATTTTGACTCGCCCTACGGGCTCGTCAAAATACGGCAAAACTCGTGAAAATATACAGCGATACTACACACCAAAACAACTAATTAGATATATAGAAAAAAGAGGATTTGTTTTGCTTGGATCAGAAACTCAAAAACTGACCAATTGTGAGCATGCAATTGTTCAGCGTGTGGTTTCGTTTTTTTTTTTCCCAGTTAAATTCTAACAAACTGACGAGACGATTGCACAAGGAATATGTCGGAAGAAAAGTCAAAAACGCGCCAGAGGTAAATTTGCGCCGAAATTTTGTCTTTGCACGTACTCCCTCCTTCTCCCCCAAAGTAATAACTTGGCTTGAGCCTGCGATCCAATGGAAAAACCAGTCCCTGGTTAGAGGTCAAGTTCAAAAACACACGCACCCTCAATGAGCTCTAAACCTGAGCCCACGATACGTGATACTGGTCAGCGGATAGCTTGTTTTGACAGCTGTCAATTAACCATTACACGGATACCCAAAATCAAAGATATAGCTATGGTAATGGTGCTACTCTCTTATTTTTCATGGTATTGGCGTACGGACGGACGTACTTATGGACGTACGTACGGACAGTCACGTGACAACCCAAATCTTTTAGATCGATGGGTTATCAAATTTTCTAAGTTATGGGGCTCCGCTCGCGCGCCCCGAAAGGAGCTCCGCTAAAAGATCTTGGCGTGGGCGAAGCGTTCACTTCTCTAGTCAAAAGAAAGAAAAACAAAATAAGCAACAGCAGACTCTACAGCGTAACACAACAGGAGTTCTACCTGGAAAGAGTTTTGTTCCTAAGAAAGCCATGCTTTCGGGACTGAGTTCACCCTCATTATTGAGAACCCAACGTTTATTGAGAGCCTCAGCAACACGTGACCATTCGACTTGATCCGGGACATCGAACAATTTTCTTTCCTAAAGACAGAACAAAATTGTTTTAACTCTGGGAAATTCTTATCTACTGATGTTAAGATATGACTTACTTAAAAATATTACGTTTTGGATTCTCTAGAACGATGGATAAAGCAAAAGGACAAGAGCGGTTTACAACGATGTTTGGCTAATAAGTTCTTTAATTTAGGGGGTGGGAACTAATCAAAACTTCACACAATGAAAGTACGCGAATATCCAGTTACATCTGACGCAACTTGCCTACAAAGCATTAATCTGCACTCACAAAATACTCGACATGTATACTTCTGATAATATAACTATAACAAATATAAAATACGAGCTATTTTCATTTCAGAATATCCGGAAGAAGCCCCGAACCTTTTCGGCAAATGCGTTGTCCCAGAAAACGGTAGCTTCGGCTTCACACTGTTGATTTCCATGAACTGTAACAACCACAGGCACCGACATTACCTACGGATCACAATAATAAACCATTGATATTAGTTATGGACTATCCTCGATACAATGTTAAGCATCTGTAAGAAACTTCTGAAAAAAATAAATTTGGTAGTGGTATTTTAGGAGAGACAGGTGCAATAATATTATCTTTGAGAACTTCCACCTAAACTTAGGAAGTTACAAGAAAAATTCCTTAAACCTATATGGATTGGACTTTTGAATGTTCGTGGGACTGGGGAAGGCATTATTTCAACAAGCATTATTATCCGTGAGACATTCATGTGTCGATTATGAGTTCAAATGGCATATGTAATGATGTCATAAATCGTAAAAACCACAATCTTCGATTGCTATCGAGTCAGGCGAATATTTTTAGCACTCAAAATTAACTTCAGAACTAAATTATTTCGAGAATACTACATAAAACCAAACTGCAGAGATACAGTATACTGAATGAGGCTGAAAATTGCGAGAAAAACTCCATACTAGACTATACTGAGACGACGACTGACAATACATGGTTGCCAGGGGAATTCAAGTCAAGAATTTAAATCAGCCACAGTTCTAAAACCTGCCGTTGTTACGTAGTCCACATACCGAAATATTAAACTGTTCCTTTCCTAAATTAATCTGTGTCGTGAAAAGTAACGAAGACTTTTCCTCCGTCACCACTTCCTTGTTTTTACCGCCCTGTCTCGTGGCCTTGGTCAGCGACTGCACGACAAAGAAAAGATAACACGTTACCTTAGCTAGATGACCACCGAACAAAGGCTACGTTACAGTCACTAATCGAAAGTCGAGATTCCATGTAAAAGAAGTTCTACAGAATCGGGTGTAGTTTCGCTCTTACCAAGTTCTTGAACTCGCCTATGAGTTTGCCTGTTACTTGATTGAATTCCAGCGCCTAAAAGAAAGAGAAAATAAAGTTGTTATTTACATGAGAAAAGGAAAAAAAATCCACGGGCATTTAACATAAGGTAGACAAATACACTCACCTTTTTACTGTTTAGCACAGGATTGTTATTTGATGGCGCAGTGCTGCGTTAAAAAAAAAAACATTTTGAAAGCAGTCAATAGATGTAGAATTTAAAGGAGCTCAATCACGGTATTACGAGTTATTTTGGCCACATAGAGAATTACCTTTAAATTGACGGAAACCTGAAAATAGTAGTTAACTTATATAGCAAAGCATCAAAGAGATAATAATAAACCATAAAGGAACAAGGATGGTTAAGGATAAAGAAGATTAACGCGGATTACCAAAAACGAACTTAAAAAATTTAGGCTAAACTTTTGAAACGCATGAACCGTAACTCCTTTAATTAACAACTTTTTTTCCAATTAATGCTTGGTGCTTTATCTCAAATAAATCTACTAGGTACAACAAGACCGATGTTTAGACTAGTTATGGGGCCAAACTCATCCTCAACAGATTCGTCTGACAGACAAATCAATGGAAGACGAATTAGGTCACCCAACTCGTCTAAACACCGGATTTTTTCTTAGACGATTTATCCGTCCCAGGCAGACGAATTACCTGTCTAAGACAGCTAATTCCTCCCTAGTATAAATTCGGCCTTATGATAACGAAGTTTGTTTGACGTTCAGTATTGCTCCTAATTTTCTCTCCATATTTATGAACATGTACGTCTAAGAGGCATTGTTCGTCCCTAGCAGAGGTAAATACGACCAGCAAAGTTGTCTCAAGTTCTTACCTTTTAGAGCGATTCCCAGTGTGAAGACCTTGGGCTTGTTTTTCGCTAAAAACAAAAAAATTAACCGCATGACAGACATGAGATTCTAAAAGGAAAATATTCTGTAGAGTGTAGAGATCAGAAGTACTTACGAGATCAGAGAACACGTGACTTCAGGCGGGTGGATTTGGACGTTAAGCTTGTCACCAAGAAGGTGCCTATACACAAATGAATGTTGGAATTACTTGGTTAACATGAAGATGAAAAAAACAACAACAAAACAACACAAAAAGTCCAGGAAAACTTGCAACACATACAAATTAGCTTATTTAGTAATCTTATTTATATTAATATATTATTCCCATACCGAACAGCAACTCCAAACTTTGTTTGTATCTTCAAGACTTGTGGAGGTTGTTTTTCTATGATAAATGTCCTACAAAACAAACAAACCCGGTTAAACTATCATTCAACTACATTTTTGCATCATTTAAATTGTGACCCTTTGATTACTAAAATGAATCCTCCTGGTCTTTCATTAATGCTGCAATATTACCAAAGAGAAGATCGCGACATAAAATAAAAGGTTCTTACTGCCATAACAGCTGAAACACATCCTTGAATCTTTGATGAAATACACCAAACGCTTCTTTTTCCAATCTTTAAATTCAAAATCTACACCTAACTAGAACTTACCTGTTTAAAAATAGCCTCATAAGGTTTCTTGCAGACGTTTTGACATTATCCATGCGCTTAAGTTCTATTTCATTACCTTGGAATGCTTGGTGGAAAAGGTTGTCAAGCTGTGATGAAAGGACACAAATTCAATGCATCAATCCCTTTAGTCGGACTCTAAAACATTGAGTACTACGCACAGGTATAACTGTGTATCAGTAAAATGGCAAATGTCTTATTAGCTAAATTTGAACGTATGGCTCACAGATGCCCGCTTTTTCTGACTTCGTAGATCCGTCCCTGTCAAATTTTGAGTTTTATCAAAACGTTAAGATTAAAGAGGTCAACCACTTGTAAGACAATCAGATAGTTCAGTCAGCACTGAATTTCTGTCATCTTTGATAGAAACTTAATGCTTGCAGAAACATGTAGTCAGATAGACAAACAAATGCCAAGATCATTGCCTTCCAAAAGCAATCGGACCCTGATCAATCAAGGCCACATTTTTCTGCCATCAATCTATCATCTGAGCAGAAGGTTTCATCATGAAACAGAAGGTCACTTCTGTGGGCTGTGATTGGCAGGTTTAAGTCCAGTTGGTTCATTGCATTATAGCAGCAAAACCAATACTATTGTTAGTTTGGTGATGAACTTAACTGTTTACGTGTTATTTACAAGCCCGGCAGTAAACAGCAGTTTCAGTTACCCTCTTGGAAAAGGGAAAGGCAGAGTTTTCACTTATGGCTTACAGATCCTTTAAAGGTATCATGTGTCCCATAAAAGATAACCCCTTTCAAGCTCCCGGTAATTTTCCAAACAGCACGTATACTAGGCTGGATTTCTGTTGCTGTCTCATTTGCAATCTATGTTCTTTCCTGGGCTCTGTTCCCAAACAGTAGCTGGTAATCGAGACTACACCTTTTCGAGCATTTAGCCTGAAGTGGTGAAACTAAGTCAGTGTTGTCCAATCCTAGTAGTGCTTAAGATCTGAAGCCCATCAGTATTTAGTTGACTTTAATTTTGGCAGATGTGTAAGTACTGTACCTACATTCAATTGACATGATTTACCCCAACCTACACCAACCCAGGTTGCCCTGCAACTTTTAGCACTAATCTTGGAAGACCTGATGGGAGAGAAGCCAGTCTGTATAATTTTTGCAAAATGTTGAAATCGTTCACACAACAACAGATAAATGAGTAAATTGAACCAAAATACAAATTCCACTGGCATAAAAACTAAATAACATAAACCAAATAGTAATTTTTAAAAATGTAATAAAGATTTAGAATGGTCCTCACAACTGACCTGTGAAGCCTGTTGAAATAGTTTCCACAGTAGCTCTGCCAGCGTTTCACAACTATAAACAGTAAAGTGAACAACACAGACAACAATTTAGTGGCATAATGTACAGTCTATGCACACAACAGAGTAAAAGTAGACAGGATTGAGGGCAAATATCTTAATATTTGAAAGTACATACACTTCTTGAAGTTTGTCAAGAGGTGGTGGACATGGAAAGCCACAAAGCGACCTCTGTTGTAAATGTCGCCATTCAGCAATTTCTTCAATACATGTTTTGACTATGTCTGACAATTTTTTTAGGTGAGTACAAAGGCATTCAATGAAGCCCTGGAGATGATAAGAAAGGAAGAAGGAGAAATTAGCACTAACTGACAGAGTGACAATTCTTATAAAATAACATATCAACAAAATCATAACTCTTTTTATTTCTTCAACTGAAAAATTTAACAGTTCTTAGTAAATCCCTAAAGTAGCAACAGTCTCAAACTAATGAACCCAAAATGTAGTGGCCCCAAATAATATTCAGGAATTGCTCAGAAAATATCAGTGTAGACAGACAGGGCAACAGATACCAACCATAATACATGTACAGGCCATTGATTATTTTACTTTGATGTATAAGAATTCTTTGTAAACAGGACCATTTGATCAGTAGTTTAATGGGTTAACCATTAAGGCTATAATCCTAATATATGTAAAGCAAAAAATTTAATTGATTTGTAAATTATGTCTCTGTTACTACGATAAATAAGTTTAACCTTTTGTGCCATTGGGCAGATAGCTGTTACAAAAACATATCTGCTATCCACACAAATCTGTCCCTTTCACCATATTTAAGAATAAGTCGATCTTTTCATAAATATGAACATGTACCAGTCTTTTGGCAATTGACAGCTCTTCTCCCATCTTGCTTAGTTCGTGCTGCATTTTTTCCGTCTCCTGCTTTATTTGGTCCAACCTTTGTTTCTGCACAGTGAGACAACTTATTAGAACTTAGATTCTTGGATACAGTCTTAATGCACTTGTAATTGAAACACAAAAATCGGTATCAGATTCTTATGCAAATTCACCTTGTCATTTTCACTGAGCTGAGATGAGTTTTTTGTTTTCTGTGCCTCCATTTGATCTGTAAAAGAGGTTGAACTAAGCTGCATTTTACTACACACTACACTTGAAATATGTCTCACTCAGTAGCTTACTCAAGATTACATTAAGATTTGTATTCCCAAAACCACCTTTAAAGTCTATGCTAAACATTGAAAATTGTTTGCCTTTGAATTTTGCAGCATAATTTGTACTTAAAATCCAGTAACCCTGTCTTTGACAAACAGACATAAAAAGCATATTACAGAAGTCATGTTTTTTGGCCTTTTGATTGCTGTTGTGATTGTTTAAAGTTTATATACATATAGGTAAATTCTTCATCTCCAATAAATTCTTTATACAATAAGCCAGGAAAATGTTCTGCTCTATCAAACTGCAGATTTCTGTTCTTTTCATTGAGGACAAGGCACATCATTCTCATAGACACCAACTGCATTATATCCACAAAAAGTAACTGATACAAAAAAAAACCTTTCTACCTACATTTATCTATTTTCCCGCTCACTTCCTGGAACTTGATCACATATTGTTCTTTAAGCTGCTCTATCTCCTTGAGGAGGGCATCATTTTTCTGAAAAATCATGCATTCATGAACAGTTTTCTGTTGTTGTTTTTACTTATTTATCACAAAATTTTCAAGATATTACATGCACATTTTACAAGCCTTCTTGACAAGTGTTTGTGGTTACAGGGTAGGTTACATGTAAGTCTGCATTCCAACCAGGTGATCTATCAGGCTGATGCTTACATAATATTCCTCCTGTTTTCATAGCATGAAATGATGGTGCTAGTTCATTATACATAGCGTTACCCCCACCTCACCCTCCAAAGCATTTTAAATAATTTTAAATTAATTTGTTAAAAGAAGCCACTTTACAGCAAAAATCACCATCTACATTGTACATCATGGTCTTGGTTGGCTTCTGTGCAAAATGTTTCTTCTAATTATTCTTAAAAATAGAATATGGGACATAATAGTGGAATAGAAATTACAGAAGCATAGATGCCAACGACCAAGAAAGTACAAGCAACATGACATCCATATGACAGTGGACTGCTGAAGGAAACAACTCGCCAAAACAGTGAGGATTGAATTGCTTCAATCATAGCTGTTGAAGACCAACCAATTACAGCAAAGCATCATGCTTTAAAGGTGAAGTGTAACCATGCAGTTGACCATGCAATCAAAAAGTCTCAACCACATCACAAATGATCACATCGTGAGTCACACTAATAAGAACATCATCAGTTACAATATACCTGGCTCTCCTTGACAAGTATTTCAAGTTGTTGTTTCAAAACAGCATACTGATCAGGGGGAGCATTTTCTTCAGTGTCCATGTCTTCCATTTCCACAGTTGACAGTGTTTCTAGTGGAATCTTAAGGTGCAAAAAAGGAGAAAAATAACATTTTCCATTTATAAACTATGAAAATTGTCATAAATCTCCTGATGTTTTAAAGCTTTCCTGAACCAGTGCCATGTCTCTTGATTGCAGTTACAGATAGAAAGATATGACGTTTCTGATTAACCAATGTATCGGGGAAGGTCTTTTCTTTCACCAGTTTAAATTAATTCTAAGTCATTAAATTGTCACAATAATAATTATTATACTTAAAAGCCATCCTTATAACACGTCTTGTTTCCATCTCTCTCATAAAAATGAGTACAGTGTGTACATGATGTAGGTCAGTTGACCTACAAAAAAATTAAAGAAGTCAAAAGAAATCTTGACAAATCTTAATTACAAAAGCATACATTTGATATATTAGAATATTACAAAATAACCCAAAGCAAATATGCATGCTGATTGGTTTAAAACAGTGTTTCTATAGCTTGATAGAAACACAGAACTAGCACAAGCTGTTGACATAATGATGGCCCAAGAAATGAGAATCTTTTTATTTTTTTTCTTTACGGTTTTTCTAAAAAAAAAAATAGAAACCATGCTCTCCGTGTTTCTATCAAATTATAGTTCTAAACACTCGTGAAAGTTTGGGAGAACTCAAAAAAAGCTGTGGAAACACTCGCCTGTTGGCTCTTGTTCCCACAGCATTCCTCGTTCTCCCAAACTTTCACTCTTGTTTCTATAACTTGATACATGTAGAAACAAGGTACTCATTTTCTATATTTCCTGAAATATGTTACTTGATTGCAAGTAATTCTGTGTGAGCTTTGATTGTGTCTTCCCTGTGACTGCCATTTTTCATCAGAGCCACTTCCACTGGTCTGGTTTAGATGTCAAAGTCAGTAAGAGAGGCATAAGAAAAAAAACTAAAAATGTGAACACCTGCTGGGAGCAGGCAATGGATCAGTTATGTAACATTTTTTACCTGACAAAATCTGGGATCGCTGGGCAATGGGAAACAGAACATTTTACAAGGATGGCCTTACACAAACTCTAGTCACAATATCTACTTACAGACGTTGCACTTTGAACTAATTCTCTCAGCTTGGACACAACTCCATGAAAATACTCTGCAAGTTTGACTGGATCACTGCCATACTTCACCTAACAAATCATGATCAGAGTGTCAATGAATACAAAAATTTGTGCTTGCCTGATTTTCCAGTAAAATTCACATTCATTTGATTACTTGTAAATTATGCTGAACAAATAACACATTGCAAGAATTATGAGGCCATTTGTATTACGTAATCACATGATTTTGAGTGCAATTTGGAATAAATAACCACAAGTAAATTTTTCAAAGGCTAGGTGTTTCTGAATAATTTTCAAGTTGTAATTTATTCCAAACTGTATGAAAATAATCATGTGTAGATTTCGTAGAACATTGCCTTCTTAGTAACCAGGTTAACTTAGTAACCACGCATAATTTACATTGGACGATGAAAACCTAGTTTTCAGGGTCTTCCCCTAAAGTAGGTTGCAACGCCTGGAGGATAAAAATTCATCATGAACAAAATGGTGTGTTTTCATTGCTGTTTTATATAATTAGGAGGAAAACAACTTCAAAATAATCAATCTCTTTGGAAGTTTTACTTGTGGGGAGGGTAAGCAGCTGCTTTATCACTAATATGAAACACTTTTTCTGTTTTATGCAGAAGAAAGCTCTGATTATGCAGAGGATTCAGATGTTAGTGAATTATGGAGATCCGCACCACCACAACCCATCAGATTTCAAGTCAGAAGTGTTCAGAAAATGACTAATTAACTTCCCCTATCTTTGCATGGTCTTGGGAAACTTCAACCCCTCTCAACACACCATGGATGACTGTCAGCACTGACTTTCAGTGTTTTCATACTAACCTCAGAAATCTTTCTAAGTTGCAATTTGCACTTGTGCTACACTGGTGTTACAATTTAACTGCACTACTGTTAACCAAACAGAATCGAGCATCTTTTTTCAGTGTATAAAATAGAGTAAGAATGACAAATGATTGATAATTCAGGAGTTGACAAACAGAAGATTAGGGTTTACTACAAGAGGGCAAGCAAATTATTCCGGGGGGGGGGCACTGCCATATATGGGCTATATAGGTATGTGCCGCTGTGAAGGTATGGTTTTCAAGCAGTTCACTCTGGGATAGGGTATATAAATCAGAGCGTTTGGGTCTAGAATAGGGTATCATTTTTCACAAAACTGACTGGTTGGTTGAAGGTTTTATCTAGAGTAAGGAAACCAGAAATTGCCACTCAAAAATATAGAAAAATCAAATCGGCAGTTTAAATTTACGCAAATCGGCCTCAACAGTGTCAATAGATGGGGGGATTTGGGGAGTTTACTCTAGTATAGGTTAGCAAAATTCAGCTGAACTAGCTCTGGTATAGGCTAAGGGTTCCAGGGTCACAGGGGCACATCCCCACCCAGAAATTCCCAAAGTACCCCCCCCCCCGGGCAAATTATAGTCTGCAATGGGAAAGGTGAACAAATAAGTGCCTTCAATTACCTCTAACTGTTGTATCACGTCTTGTACTTTTTTTGCTAACAGCACATTATGGAAATCATTTAAGGAAATTGAGGCCAAGCCTTCCAGCTACAAAAATAGGCAAAAAACTTTGTTAGCACGCAGTTACATTACTGTACAAAATGTACGGATCTATTGAATTTTGTGTATATTTCTTTTGTGTGATGAATTATATCTAGTTGTAAATAAAGAAATTAAATCTGGCTGAAATTTCACAAAAAAAAAACAAAGACAAAGGTAAATTTTGGTGCTAGCTGCCAAGGCCAGTAAAACCAACTGGGATTGTTAATGAGCTGGCTCAGTGTTAACTAGTGCATCCCTGAACAAAGACTACTTTTGGAACAATCATAAAGAAACTCAGAGAAGTAGAGCTGCTGTAACCAATATTTATTTGAATTTCTTGTTGCTGAATTTTAACAGCTTGAGCTGCTGAATTTTAACACCATGGGTTTCGCTATGTTCTGCTGACAAAAAAGGAGCTATGAAAAGTCATGTACCTGACATTTATGAACACCAATAGCAATTTTTACACTTCAGAGAGCCACAATGCAGTAAACAGCAGCTAAGGCAAATCAGCCATGGTTACTATGACCCCATCAACATCTTGGGAAATCATGTTCCAAACCAATATCATACAGTGATAGAAGCTTACAGAACTCAAGTTCTGAAAGTTTCCAAGTCTTTATGAGCCCTGCTTTAACTGTGCCCTAGAAATGTTCACTTCAAAACACACCAATGAGAAGGTATTTCAAAAATAGCATGGTTATGTAAAACCAACAGCATGTGTTGGATACACTTTACAGGTATATATATGTACTGGAAATAAAGCCACTGGTTTGGCATTTTTGTTGTAAATCGCAGATATTCTCTGTTGAAAGCCAAACCACTGTGTGAGAGAGAACTGTATCTACAGGTTACCAAACAGACTTACTTACCTTTTTTTTATGATCATTTAGTTGAGCTATTGTAGCATCCATTAGCTGCTTGGCTTTGATTACATTTGTTCCCTGAAGATTTACATTTATTGCCTCCTGCCTGCAAAAAATAACAAGTACACGAAAAAAGAACTCTTTATTATACAAAAAAATTAAACTGTGCATAATTGCACAAGAGTGTAAGTAGTGTAAGTACCCTGTACTGTAAGTACTGTAATTAAATGTTTTGCAAAAAAAATAATAATGATAATTAAAAACTGTACATAATTGTACATGCCATCAGTTTCTACAAAAACAAAAAGTCAAATGTTCAGCGTCAACAAGACCTTTTGTGGGTACAGCACTAAAATAATCTTCCTACAATAAGACACATCATTAAATCGTAATGGCACCCTAGTCAGTCATGTATATCCTTAATCTTATCCTGTTATCCGTTTCCATTATATTCATGTAACATTTTCATGTAGCGTTCAATCAAGGGCTCATCATGCCAGGAATGCAATACACTATGCATGTTCAAGTGTTAGTAATCTTCCACTGCACTATAAGAATACATTTTGATGCATTAACCATTTTTACAAATCTTTACAAAGTCATTATAAGATTAAACTTATTAAACTCCTTATGCAATCCACATGACAACCTGTCCCCTGTCTATTCAGGTAGATTGCAGAATACCATAGCTTCCTGGTATTCATGCCAGTATTAAAAAATGCTGTTATAAAAGGCAGTTGAATTAACAGACATTCCGAGTTGGAAATGCTATTACAACAATACAATTATTGATCACAAAATTGCAAGCTTCATAACTCATGGTATGTCAAGAGAGATAACGAACAAATGCATACCTGGAAAATTAAAACAACAAAAGAGAACAACTATTAAGAGCTATGGTTACTTCCTTGTGCATAAGGTGTTCTTAAACACAAAGGGAAAATATGAAAACGGCGGGCAAAACTTTTGCTACTGATTAAAACTATACAGACACAAAAATGGGGGGTACAGTCTAATCCCTACTTTCTTGGGGGGGATGCTGAGGATTTCCTTTTCTTTTTTAATATGGCACAAATCACTGAGTACAAAGCTATACACATTGAACAGCACCAATTCCACGGTCAAATCATGTACTTCTTATCTTACCAAGGCTGAAGTTCCAACCACTGCATTAAATAAATGGACGCCTCGAATTCAATTGATCCGCCAAAAGCGGCCTGCAGCTCCGTCAGAATTTTATTCTTGTGGTGTCCCTCCAGGTTCTGAAATGTATCCCAACACGACATGGCTGGAAACTACGCGATCCCGAGGTAAAAATCTATTTCAAAATATCCTTCGAAATTTCGAGCCAGCACTAATTCTATCTTCGAAGGATCGTCTTCACTTCACGGTGAGTCCGTACGTTCTCGTGGCACGAGAGGTAAACAGTTCTGATCGATTTCATCACGGGTTTCGGTTTATATCGCCAAACGCGAGCCTCTTTCCGAGAAATGGCCAACTTCCTTTTTTCGGCGGAAAAAGTCGTCCGAGCATAGCCTTCGGATGGTCAGACAAGCATCGGACACTCTTCGGAACTAATCGCCACAAAAGGACTGTATCATTGCGTGACATCGGAAACCTGGAAAAACCGGAAATGAATTGGAGGTTGAGACAGCACGCCATTACTGTTCGCTCGAAATTTGTTTCAAACAAGATTATTCCAACCCTTTTTGCTGAGTTTGAAAAAATATACTTAACATTTATCATTTTACATACTTACATTAAATCTAGATTTTGTTCACGCGTTTCAAACCAGAAGTTTCAAATAATTGTTGATACTCAATTCTAAGAATCATGACCATCGGGGAAAACGCGGAAGAGTAAGTTATTTGCATTTTAACCCAGAAAGTATCAGAGGACTCCATTATTTCAAGTACATTCTTAGAAGAAACGGAAGAATAGAGAATTCTTAAAACATCAAATAAACAAATTATTAGGACATCGTAGTATTCTTCTGAGAATATAATATTGGAATTCTGCCTAAACCGTAAATCAGTGTGGACAGTTGGGAGAATGGTCAGCGTTGTCTTACAAATTAGAAGAGTATCTTTCATACATTGTCGTGAGTTTTGAATATGCGCCCTATTTTCTAGCCAAACTCCAAGGAAAAAAATTAGGATTTTGTTATTCCTTTACTGACCCATCAATAATGAGGCAAACAACGTTACTACTCAAGAATTGAACTCTAATCAGAGCTCAGTGGAAACCCGCCCGTTTCTTCGAAGTATCGTATTGTCTTCCCATTTTTCTATGAAATAAAAAATTACTCTTAGTTGGGTATGTAGTCACAAAACCATGGATTGTTGTGCATGATGCAGCGAGCCATGTTATGACGGAAGTTAGCCTTGCTTCCGAGTGCCATTGAACAAGACCTTCGCTGGGTCGTTACGCCGATCGCCGGAACGCGCCAACAGTGACCATCACGCGCGGTGTTTTAGGCACGGGTGGACAACTTCTTGAATTTAGACCTAAAATACAGCAACTCTCAAGACAGACAGATGCATTTAAAGCTGGGGCGATATTAAAGGTACTTATGTAAACTCAAAATACAAGTAAGAGATCACCAGCCATGTTCTACAATACATCGTAAGGGTGACGCGCTCTGGTCTTGTACACAGTGACAAATGATGAAACTCTGCTCCTTGTATAATGATTTCAGCTGACTGTTTTTCGTAATTTTCGTAATTCAATTGATTTCGATGATTTATATCAGTTTTAGATACCTCGCTACGCCCATCAGTTTAGCAAGAAGTCCTTAGCTGTTATTGCCGGCTCACGCGAGCTAGCCATTGTTTGTATCACATGTACGAAACTTTCGGATGGAATTTAGTTCGTTTACGTGTAAAGCCTGGTTTTTAGTTTATTTTGCATGGCTTACATAAAGAAGTTATTTTCGTGCTTGGAGAAGATTTTTGGTGATGAGGACTGGCATTTGAAAACTGAACAGCAATATTGTGGGCGTTCGATCGATCGACACTGGACGCGAAGTAACTTCTGATGTATCACGACTGAGTCATGCTAGTCTGTCGTCTTTATTTTTTCCACCTGTTAAAGGATAATTTGCCGTATATAATGAATGGGAGAAAAGTGCACTTTTAATAACTTATCTTTACAAAAGTAACTTATGAAGACTGTGTAAATTTGTGACATAGTGTAATCAGGGTAGAGTCTACCACCAAATCAAGCAGGCCTCACTCTACTGGACTTGTTTTGTTTGCTTTCAACTGAGAAACCACATTACTGCCTGTTTAGTACCAAAAGAACACACTCAGACATGTGCTCCCTCTCTTGTTGCATTCATTTATGTTTTTGTTTCAGTGTTATTCAAATTTGTAAAAAAGATCGAGAAACAGCAAATGGATGACATGAATTCGTTGCGTACTTATGATCTTCTTCATTGCAAAGGATCTTGAAAGATTTACCATAATCTGATCATGTAATTCACTGACCGAAGTAAAAAAAACCTTATCGAAACTTAACCGCAACAGAGTTACAAATACAATTTCACTGAAATAAACTTTGTTTTCACTAATATCGAAGCATGTGCTGGTCAACATAACGAATGTAAAGTTGCACGGTCTGTAAGATAACTAAGTCGGCCATTTTTACCGCCGCTATACAAAGAGAAAGTAGCTTTCTGATTCGGTAATTCGTTACAAACCGTCATAACTTATTTCTTCATCGTTCTAAATTCATCGAAGAATGTACCTGTTACCAATTTCCATAGTCATGATAATAACGAAACTTTTAGATGTCAAAAGATAGCGACACCATTCAATACGTAATACATTGTCAATAACTGCAACAGAGTTTAATACTGTTTTTCTTCGTAGGTTGTGTTTTTCAGAACTTTCTTTTCTTATATTT